TCAGCCGCCCCGCCCCCGGCCCCCTCCTGGTCCTGCTCCCCGTTCTGGAGCCTGCGCACAATGCTGGTGAGGTCCAGGCTCCGCGTCAGCGTGTCCAGGAGCATCCGGTCCTTCTGGACGCCCTCCATGAACTCCTCCAGGGACAGCTCCCCTGGCGGCCAGAAAGGGAGTCACGGGGAGGAGGGGTCGTCTCCTGGGCAGCATTGCACAGGGCCCAGAGCTGGAGTCTTTCGAGGGGCACAAGGCCACTGCTGGGGACGCAGCGGTGAGGGGGGCAGGCAAAGGAGCCAGAGAGCAAGTTCTGGTCCAGGAATCCCTCACACCCGGGTCTGTGGCTGGGACCCTACACCCTGGGGACCCCTCCCCGGGGGACCCCTGCCCCGGCCTCCTCACCATCCCCGTTGACATCGATCCTGGAGAACACCGTGTCGGTGAACTCCTCCGCACTCATGGTCGAGTCGCTGCAGGGGTTAATGGTTCGGATGGCCTGGGGGGAGGAAGAAGTGAGAGGGCCCCCCCTGATCAGCCTCGCTGGTGGGGGGGCTGCAGTGGGGAGTGGAGGCAGAGCTGGGACTCAGGAGCATAGTCAGTCTCTTGGGAGGAAACTGAGGCCCAGAGCCGGGAAGGAACGTGAGGGTCAGAGCTGCCACCGGGCCCTCCCTTCCATCCTGTCCCCTGCAGGGATGACGGCTCTGCCCACTGAAGACCCAAACCCCTCTAAGCCCCAGGCCGGCCCTCTGCACCTGGAGTTACCCGGATGATGGTGAGCAGCTCGTCGCGGTCGATGCATCCGTTGCCATCCACGTCGTAGAGCTTGAAGTACCAGCGCAGCTTCTGTTCCACCTTCCCCTTGAGGACCAGGCTGAGCGCCGCCACGTACTCCATGAAGTCGATGTAGCCGTCCTGGGTGGGGGAGGCCGCCTTGAGCCCTCTCCCACCCCTCCCGAGACCCCCCCACTTGGTGCCCACCCCATCTGTCCTGGCTGCCCAGGGCCCCCCGGCCTGCCCCAGAGGCTTTGGTCCACTCTGACAAGCTACCCCCGGCTGGGCTGCGAGTGGCACTTGGGTTGTAGCTGTCACTGCTGCTTCCCTGTGCTTCTCAGACTCCAGCCCTTCCGGAGGCTTGTGGGGCGGAGAAGAGACATGAATTCCCAGGGGCGGGTGGGGGCTGGGTGAGCTTTTCCCAGCTCGGTGAGGGCAGGAGGTAGATGTGGAGGCAAAGGTTCAAACCTCACTTTTTCCTTCTGTGAGAATCCTGAGGGTACCTGCCTCCGTGGGATCGTCGTGGGGTTCCAGGAGTACATGTACGGACACTCCCCGCCTGGCGCGGAGTGAGCGCTCAGGGAATGCCAGCTGTCATCACCGCTGCTATAAAGGGACCGCCTGCTGTCAGGTGTGTCCGCAGCAACACATCCGAGAGGGCGTTGCGGGGTCACAGGACAGCAGCACCCACTCTGCTGGGCCCAGGGCAGGGGGTTGGGGAGGGGGGGCTTGGGTGGCTTCCTGAGGGAGCCGCGGCCCTCACCGGCTCTTGGAGAGGTTGGCCATGGGGGGAGGGGGTGGCACAGACATTCCTGCAGGACATTTCTTTAGGGTCCCCCGAGTGTTCACCTGCTGACCGTCTGCCGGCCCTGCCAGTCCTACCATGTTCTCTGTCCACCTCCCCCCAAACCGAGTGAGGCTGGCGAGGGAAGCCTATCTCCCAGGCAGGCTGCGCCCGGGGAGGGCGGGGGCGCTGGGTCCCAGGACCTG